GGATGGTGTGGCTCACTGGGGTACAGGATTGCCCTCTTGGCGACAGGCAGGTGCGTAGGGCGCGCTGCGGGGTGCTCCCCGGCCTCGGAGCTGAGGCTGTTGCGCAGTAAGATAACAGCGCGGGAGCTGGGGCTGCGCTTCGCCCCTTCCTCCCTCCCCCCTCCTTACCCCCGCCACTGCGCGGGCGGCTACGCGGGGACAGCTGCGGGGCTCCCGGGACCCACAACCAGGGCTTGGTGCTCTGGGCATCACCAACCTGCCTTGCGCATGAGGCTGGGGATGAGGCGGTGATGCTGAGGAACGAGCATCATCGTCTGATAGCTGTCTCCCCATTCCTGATACTACCCTATTTCTTTTCTTTCTTTTTAATTTGGTAAGTGGAAACTTGAGTGCTTCCCGGGTTTGGGCTTTAGTGGGTTTTTGTTTGTTTGGTTGTTTTTTGTTGTTGTTGTTTTGTTTTTTATCTAGGAGAAGAGCTGGACCGTTTGTTCCCCCTTGCCTTACTTGACTCATGTCAAGGAGTTTTCAGTGTCTCCCTGGATACAGGAAAATCGAGATCTCTTTCAGAATGGGAGGATTTCACTTGTTCTAGAGCTCAGTGGGTGGAGTTTTGACAATGATTGCACAACGAATAGGGTACAGGGCTTTCAGGCCCCAGGAACTGAGAACTGGGGTTTATGGTACTGAAAAGGTGGAAATCCCATCCCTTTTCCTTGCAGGAGAACATACTGAAATCGCTCGACCTGTTGGATACCCTGCTTGACCACTGAGGGCTATTTAATATTACTTAATTATGTATTTGAGTAATCTTAAAAGCCACTCCTGTATGAAGTTACGAAATAATATTTTTCTAATGCGATTCATGAACTTCAAAAGGGAGAACAAAGGTCTGGTTTACATTTGAGCAATGTCAAGAATTGGCTTTTTGGGACATGTTCTTTTTCTCCCTTACTTTTTTGTTTTTTAAGATGGATTCTCAACTTGTAGTTGGCTGATCCCGCTATGTACTCCAGGCTTGCCTTGGACTTGAGATGATCCTCTTCTCTTGCCTCGGTTTCCTGAATGCTGAGATTACAGCTGTGAGCCACCACTCTGGCCTTTGGTGCTTTTCTCTAAGTTCAAGTATTTTCCCGTTATACTGTCTCTCATAAAAGAAGGATCTACTGCTTGTAGGACTGGAAAAGAAGCTGTGGCCCAGCATTTCTTTTGGGATTCAACACTGTCACTTTGGACATCTATTCCCTGAAGGTGGGGAGCCAATCTCAGTGTTTGATTTCATAGGTTCCCCAGGGGAGAACTGTGATAAAAAGCCACTGCAATTGAGGACATAAGTTCCCTTTTATGCCACTGGAATAAGGACAAAAAGTCATTGAATTAGGAAGTAAGGTTTAATCAACTAGTATTTTAAACTACAAGGATAAGGGGTAATGACTCGTTGAGTTCAGAGCTCTGGTTAATAGGTGGATATGAATAGTCTTGTATGTTTATAGTCTTTGTATTCCTTTGCTCATGCTTTTCTGTGGATCTTTCTTTTGGTTTCTATCTGACTATAAAATGGAATAGAAATTGACATTAGTTATTGAATTTTCAGTTCAAAACTGGGTGAATTTCTTGTGTCTGTAAAATAATTTTTAATTGCTCACTTATGATCTTCAGTTTATTCTAGGTTAGTAACCTGAGAAAATACTCCTTTTTTTCTAACTTAACCTCTGTATTTTTGTTTTTCAGGAAGCAGAAATGATGTTAAACAAATTCAGTTCTTTTTTAAAATATTGGATGAATTGAAAAACATGATTTGTTATTATTTGGTTATATTATAGGACTTGAAGTGAAGAAAACTGAAGATTCGCTCTGTTGGTTCCTGGTTCAAATCATCTGCCTAGTCATTTATTTTTCTGAGGCAGTGTCTGGTCTGGCCTCTCAAGTGCTGTACAAGTGGCATTACTATACCTACTTTTAAAAAAAGAGAATCTTGCTATGCTCATCTGGCTGGCCTTGAACTCTTGGGCTCAAGTGCCTAGTCACTCTTGACCTGCTCAGTTAATTATAACATGGTTTCATAACTATATTTATTTGAATGGGATGTTGGGTTGACTTTTCTAAAGGTACCATTGCAGTCTATTTCTAGGTGTCATTTAAGGAATTGTATTAAATCTGCTGGTATTATAGGCACCTTATGTAGCCATCTATTTTTTTAATACTAGGTATAGAGTAGTGGGGATTACAGTCTATACCACTGGTCCCAACTTCAATTTGTTAAAGTTAAATAAGGTTTTAAAATCTCCCTTTTCAATTATACTAGCCAAATTTCAAGTATTCCAGTAGTTAATATTGCCATGCATATTACAAAAGATATAGTATAATTTGTGGGGTTTTTTTTGTTTGTTTTGTTTCTGTTTTGGAAAGCCAGGGTCTCACTTGTATAGCCCATGTTAACCTGGGAACTCATTATGTAACCCATGCCAGCCTCAAATTTGCAGTCCTCCTTTTGCCTTAGCTTTCCTAGTACTGGAATTACAGGTGTGAGCCACTACACCTGGCTCTAAGACATTGTCATCATTGAGTGAAATTCTATTGGACATCATTGATCTAAAGAAGCCAGTATACTTTATTAAATATTACAGGCAATTTTCAAAAACTGTTAAGTTTAGTCATACTTCCTATTTCATAAAGTTGATCTTTAAAAAGTCAAGACAACTTGACATGATATGGTAACACACCTTTGATCCCAGTATTTAGGAGGCAGAGGCAGGCAGATTTCTGTGAGTTGAGACCAGCCTGGTCTACAAGAGGAGTTCCAGGACAGCCTGCTCACACATATCCCATCCTTTTATTTATGTGTTACAATTTGTTACAGTTGCTCAGGCAACACAGATACATTGTTACTGACTAAGCCCATAGTTTACAGGGTTCAGTGATGTTATAAGATGTATGAATTTTGACAAGTATATAATAGCATGTGTCCAGAGTAGCCTGTGCTCCACCTAGTCATTCTTCCCAACTGCTGGCACCAACCGATTTTTTTTAGTTGAATGATATTTATTTAGGGGTGTGTGTGTATATGTTTGAGTGTCAGCTATAGTACATGTGTGGTAGTCAGAAGACAACATTTGCCACATGGGTGCCTAGGAATCAAACTCAGGCTGGCAGCAAATACCTTTACCCAGTAAGCCATTTTGCCAGCCTCTGGTGTGTTTTTTGAGATAGTATTTCATTGTGTAGCCCAGGCTGACCTCAAAATTCTGATGCTCCTACCTTAGCCTTCTGAGTGCTGGGATTACAGGCATGTGCTACTGTGTCATATCAAGTTGTCACTGTATGTATTACCAGATAAGGTTTCACTATGTAGCGTAGAGTGTCCTACCAAACTGATCATTTAACTGTCTCCATGGTTTTGTCTTTTCTAAAATGTCTCTGTTTTTTTTTTTAATAAAAGTTTTGCACTTGGGACTGTTAAAAGATGATTTGACTAGAGGTAGGATAGATGCTTCAGTCAGGAAGTTGTGTTCTACAACTGCTCTTGTAGAGGACCAGAGTTCAATTCCTAGCACCCATATCAGGTGGCTTACTACCACTGCTAACTCCAGTTTCAGGAAACTAATTCATTGGGCCTCCATGGACACCTGCACATACCCACACACTTACACATAATTAAAAATCATTAAAATTATTGACTATTACTATACTTGTGTTTAGGTCATCAAACCATTTCAAAGACTAAAGTATATGATACTTGGATTTACCTTACCAAAACTTTACATTTATGTAGTGTCTTATCATTTTTATAGCATGTTTGCAAGTACATTAACTCTTTTAGCATCATTCAGATGCTGTAGGGAAGGTTGGGCAGCTATCATTGCTCTCATTTACTGATGACACACTGCTCGGTAAGGTCAGGTGATTTGCCCAAGGGATGAAGCTAAGTCTGAAACCCAGTGCCCTTTCATCTATATTATGGTAATAAGTAGTATAGTAGTGGGTAAATAGTATAGGTTTTAGAGTCAAGACTCTTGGCTCTCTGCCACTTAATAGCTTTGTAACCTTGGGCACATTTCTCAGACTACAAACCAAAGTTACATTGCCTGGAAAGTGGGGATGCCACTATGAACACTATATTAGGATAATTATGAGGAATGAGTTGGTATGATATTTGGCATGGTGCAGGGTATGTAAAATTTTATGTGGTTTGGAAGGGATAATATATGGAAGATCAGATTCTCTTGCTTTTAGGGTGCTATTTTGTAATCCATCTTCTAGGCTTTGTATTTTCTTCCCAGAATTTCTGTGATAAAGCAGTCAGGGTTGGGCAAGAGTCTAGTTCAGGAATGAATAATTTTTATTAATTTTGATTTTTTTTCTCTATTTGTCAAGTTGAACCTCCACTTTAAGATATTAATAAGTAAAGTGATCTAGTTGCATTATTTTAGCTATTGCTAAGGTTTCAGTAAAAACACTTTTAATTACGTGCATGTGTGTGGGTATCTGAATTTGGATGCTGTGGAGGCCAGAAGAGGGTATTAGATTCCCTGGAGCTGGAGTTACAGGGAGTTGTGAGCCTCCTGACATGGTGTTGGGATCTGAACATAGGTCTTTTGTAAGAGCAGCAAGTGCTCATAATTGTTGAACCATCTCTCTGGATCCAATCTTTCTTTTTTTTTTTTTTTTTATAAAATGGAGTCCTATAGAAGAAGCTACAATGAGAACATCTAGATACAGAAAGTACTTCTTTTTAGTAATCTTCACATTTTCAAATTATGAATGTAATATTCATTTGTGTTTCTTTTTTTTGAGACAAGATCCCACTGTGTATCACAGTCCAGGTTGGTTTCAAACTTAGGATCCCCCAACCTCAGCTGCCAGAATACTTGGATGCAGTTGTACAGTACCATACCTAACTGGAAGGTATCTTATATGTTATTTTGTGTATCATTTATTAGCCTCGACTGGAGAAGTTTTGAAACATCAAATCCACATAAGCTAGAGTATATATTTGCTTTTGTATGATCACCTTACCCCATTTCTAGGGACAGATCACAGGGTCTTTGCATATTAGTTACATGCTGGTCCACTGGACCCATATCTTTCAGCCCCTTTTGGGGAATTCTTTACAAGATTCATTATAATAGATTTCTTTCAAGTAGGTAGTGTTCAAATTTTATATTTAAAATATTTTTTCAGAGTTAAATTCCAAAGGAAAGCATTTGATCAAATTTTACTTATTTAATGTACTGTTAGGTATGTTTAATGTTTATGCATTTTAATATCTGAGCGCTGCAAAGTAGGTGGTATCACTTTTTAAAAACATTCTCTTTATTTGACATATAATCCGTAATATTAGCAATTCCTATGCTCTCATTTATATTTTTTCTTAACAGAATTTTGTTCAAATACTTTTCTTCTAATTTTATTTTCAAATTTTTATATACTTCATCATTAAAAATCTTGCAAATTGGCCGGGCGTTGGTGGTGCATGCCTTTAATCCCAGTACTCGGGAGGCAGAGGCAGGCAGATCTCTATGAGTTCCAGGCCAGCCTGTTCTCCAGAGTGAGTGCCAGGATAGGCTCCAAAGCTACATAGAGAAACCCTGTCTTGAAAAAAAACAAAAAAAACTAGCCTGCTCTACAGAGTGAGTTTTAGCCCACACTCCCACACACTCCAAAGCTACACAGAGAAACCCTGTTTCAAACAAAACACCAAAACAAAATACTGCAAATAAAAAAAGCATCATCATACACTAAAATAATCAAACCCAAGTGAACCTCTATATAGTCAGAGTAGGCATTTGTGAAGCTGTTGAGCTTCACATTAAAATTTACACTTTCAGGATCAAATATTTTATGAACTTATTTACCATCAAAACCAAAAAGCCCACAACAGAATTAAAACTAGAAAATAATTATTAGCTTTATATCCTCTTTTATAATTCATGTCCATTACCTGTATTCAGTCTGTCCTTGTATCCTTGTATTTATCCTTTCTTGATTTTTTTCTTCATGCACATTTGTTTACATATAATTGGCTATATTTTTCATATGAGAGAGAAAATAAGGTTTTTTTCTTCTTGAGTTTGTGTGACCGTAGTTAATGTATTTCCTAAGTTTATCCATTTTTTGTTTTTCAAAATAGAGTCTAACTATATAGCTCTGGTTGTCCTAGAACTTGCTATATGTACTCAACTTGACCTTAGGCTGACTTTGAACTGAAAGAAATCCATATGCTATCACACCTAGCTTCCTGTAAATTTTTT